GAGAGAGAGAGAGAGAGAGAGAGAGAGAGAGAGAGAGACCATGTACATGATTGCAGTGGCCACAGCAGACAGAAGAGGGCATTAGATGCCCTGGATGTTGAAGGTGTTCAGGCTGTCTGTCATGAAGCACCTGACATGCCTGCTGAGAATGGAACTCCTTTCCTAGAGCAATCTGCTCCAACCACTGAGCCATCTCTTCAGATCCCTCTACTTACTTGCTAATCACCAAATTACTAATTTGGCAGACCCCATTGTCCCATTGCCTTGGCCTACATAAGTCTTCCAGAATTTTCTGTTTCAAAAGCTTCAGAATTTAGACTGCAGAGAAGATACAGAAGAAAGAAGAGATTTAGGAGAGGAGAAATCAGTGGACCTTGGAGAATCAGGAGGGCAAGCTGGGATCCTTCCTTGGAAGTAGAGCAAAAGAAGTGGACCTGGCTTAGAATAACTGAGCAAACTCCTTGGACCCCACAGCACTGGAATTGTAGCTAGCTTCATAAAAGAAAACTACAGAAACAGCATAGTTTCAGAGAGGAATCTTGTATGTTCCCTGTTCTCATGAAGATTCACTGTGTTCCAAGTATGACAGAGAAAAAGCAGAGAGCCAGAAGACTCAAACATCCTCATCACAACCACCACCAGCAGCAGCAGCAGCAGCAGCAGCAGCAGCAGCAGCAGCAGCAGCAGCAAGCAGTAATACCATCACCATAATGCTAATAAGCATCATCACTATCATCACCAGTAGCATCAACAGAATCACTGTCACAAACATCTGTAACATCAGCATTAGCATCATTAGCATCCACATCATCATCATCATCATCACCATCCTCTTATCGTCATCATCTATCAAAATGTAACTCCCGTTTTAACCAAGTCATTGAAGAATCATTTTTCAATTTTGTAGAGTACAGATGGTAGAACAATTGGATGATAGAATATTGAACACAGGATGGTGGGGATCAGTTGTGTGTAATCCTTGCTTTGTATACACGATGTCGTTTACAAATCCGTGTCACTCTGAGTCAGCACTGTTCGCTTCATGCACAATTATAGTAATCCTGGAGCAAACGTTAGTGCTGTAATGATGTTGCTTGGCAGAGCGATCATCTGAGAGCCATTCTCAGCTGCTACATCAGGATCACAGCATTTGTGCAGCTCCAAATTACTCCAGAGATGGAAAAGGCAGCATTTGTTCAGTCATCAAAGGGGGCAGCCTGCAATTAGATTATGCATGCTGTCATCAGGGGGCTGGCAGGCCTATTTCACACGCTGGAGGGCTGGGGGTGACCTTTAACAGATGTAGAGTCTCCACATAAAAGCCCCTTGAGACTGCAGCAAATAATGAACCACATTTTGTAGCCAGCTGATTCATGTTTTTGTCTTTGCTTCATAAGCACCGGGAGGGAGGGCTTCCAAATGTTGTTCTTCAGATCTCTGAAAGGAGTAAAAGAAAAAAAGCCAGGCTCCCTTGTATTTGGTGATTCCAGAGGTCAACTGAACCCAAATTGCACAGTTTTGCTTGTCCCTCGACTAATTTCTGAGTATCTGCTTTTTAATTTTTTTGACCGGAGTTTTTGTCTCATACTTTCTGGGTACACAGACTGATCACGCTTTGGGTAATTCATGTAGTGGGTAGCCTCAAGACAGAGAGGGTCACCTACAGGTCTGATCTACTTGTTACAATTAGCTGAGTGTCTCCCTTTCCCACTCCCATCCTCCCCTTGTCAGCAAGCTAAAAAACAAACTTAGATTATTGCCTAAATTCAGAGTAATCTTAAATGATTCTCTATTGGATTCAGATTTTATCTCTTGCATATTTACCACCCATTATAAGAATGTTTGTAAGTTAAATCAGAGAACAGACAGCTTTAGTCCAGGATTTTCTTGTATGGGTCTGCCGTCCCATCCAGATTGCTTGGAAACATCTGTGTACACCTCACTCCTCATTCTCCTTTCCATATTGCATGCTGGTGATCTTTAAGAAAAACGTGGAAGTCATCTCTTCCAGGAGGTTAGCCTGGATTTCAAGACACATGTGATGGAAATCATCTCTTCCAGAAGGCTAGCCTGGACTATCAAGACACAAGTGATTGAAATTGAGGTAGCTGGTCTATCAAGAGATCACACTGTATCAAAAGTCATAAGATCTGGATCCTGGCTTTTCGAGGAACTTTCTGGAGAGCTACATTTATTACACTGTACTGCCACATCCAAGTACCACAAACCAGGTGACTTATACACCAAAATGTATAGATTTATGGCTGTGAGGGCTGAGAGATCATCATCGGGGCTGTGAAGGCATTTGTTCCAGGTGCAGCTCCTGGCTGTTTGTGGTTTGCTGGTAGTCTTTGGTGTTCCTTGGCTTGTAGAAAAATCACCCAGTCTGCTTTACATGGCCTGCCTCCTAGGTGTACGCTGACCTGCTAGTCAGTATGCCTTCATCTTACGGATCACATCTGCGTCCATCCTCTTAGCAAATAAATTCACACTCTGAGGTACAAGAGAGCAGGACTTCAATACATGAATTTTTAAAATCAATTAATTAACTTTGTATTGGAGGCATGTAGAGGTTAGAGAACAAATTAGTGGGGCCACGGTTTGAACTCAGGTTGCCAGCCTTGACAGCAATCACCTTTCCCCATTAAGCTGGTTCACCTGTCCTTAACATAGGAATTTTGTGGGGCCACAACCCACATCCCAGAGTCCTTGGGAAAGTCCCTCTCAGTTTCCTTACTTAGAGATAGGTTAGGAATAGCTACTTACAGAACCCTTGGAAGGTTAAGGATTTGGCCTAATTTATGTCCCTTAAGCAATGTTCTTCATTTTTATCCACGTGGCTGATGATGACATTTCTATTGAAACTCTGGTCCTCTGATGCAGCCTGCCGTCCGCTGCCAGCCTGTGGGAACAGTCTGATACACAGCCTGTTGTCTCTGCACACTTTTTCCTCTGCTATGTTTA